ATGGATAAACCAAATGTGGTCTGTGCACACAATGGAATATTATTCAGTCCTAAAAAGGAAGGAGATTCCGACACAGGCTGCAACATGGACAAACCTTGAGCACTTATGTTAAGAAATAAGCTGGTTATGAAATGGCAAGTCCTGTATGATGCCAGCTGCAAAAGCTATCGAAAGTAATCAAATCAGAAACAGAAGGCAGAGCCGCGGTCAGGAATGAATGCAGGGAGAGAATGGGGAGTTGTTTGGTGGGCATAGAGTTTCGGTTCCAAACGATGAAAAAGTTCTGCAGATACGTTTCAAAACAGTGTGAATATGCTCAGCACTACAGAACTGTGTACTTAGAAATGGTTAAGAAAATACATTTCGTGTTTTTTTTTTTAACCATGGTAAAAAGCCAGGTTTGCAAAATGGTAAATATTCTTATCACAAAGTTTTGTCTGTTCTCTTTTTCTCTCTTGCACACAAAAGCACATACATATCCCAGACAGACAAGCATTTCTGCAACTATACATCAGCTTGTGGGCACGTGTAGGGTTAGTTTGGTTTATTAGAGCGATATATCAAGGGGAAAGACTTCAGTTTGCAATTTCAGGATATTACCACTGAAGATGAAAAGCTGGCTGGATTCTTAGGTCTTTTATATTTCATGAGGAGTTTTGCAACCCTACCGTTGTTCAGATGAGTACACAATCTTTGTTGCGTTAGTTTCCTTTGTTTGGAAATTTCGAGTATCTCTGTTGAGGCATATGTTGTACTACTTCATTTTTGATGAAAAGGCCTGATAGCTTATCAGTGTGTCCTCCTTGAACTCAGAGATCTTTGTCACCTGTTGCCTTGAGGTCCACAGTGAGCGCTCAGGAATCCTACAAATTAGAACGTCTTGAAGCACGACTGTTAAGAAACCACAGCAGTGTTTTTTCTACGTGAGCCTCCTACAACGCTGCCTTTCTCGTGTAAACAGTAGGAGCTCTTTCCTTCTTGGTCAGTTCCTAACTTACTTTTACAGAATAATAATAAACACAATTCCTATTTGTTCGAACTCTCAAATTAGAATTTTCATGATGGTACTAGAGTCTTTCTAAATTAACTCAGTCATTGTACTCACCGTGAACTGTTACGAACATCCTAACTTGTAATTCTCCTTTCCCCATGCCAAGCTCCAGCTTACAAAATGAGGAAGGGGAACATAGGGCTGCTCTGGCACCAGAGGGTAAAAGGAGTTTTACAAAAATATATTAAATACAGTGCCCACTAACTTTGTCTTGAAGTTCATCCAAAACATAGTTAAACGATTAAAGTAGCAAGTGCTTAGTGTAACAGACTCTACTGGGAGTAGAATGAACAGTCCAACCACAATCCCAATCCTCCCTTTTATAATTAATTCCCTAATTGATTAAAAGGTAGGCTCTTGAATATGACCTAGAGCAAATTAGTCTCTCGACCTCAGTTTCCTCACCTGCAAAATGGGTACAATAATAGGACCTACCTCATTTAGTGTTCGTAGGCAGTAAACCAGTTTGTGTAAAATGCATTAACAGTGCCTGGCGTGAAGTGACCAGTCAATAAATATTGATTGTAATCATTATTATTTCAGGATATTAATTTTATTTTAAAAACATATTCGTTGCTCAATGATATCCCTGCAACTGTTTGAGCAAAGGAACTTCTACCTGTTTTCCTGGATCTGATTTTATTACAAATCAGCATCACTCCTCTCATTGAAATGGTTTCCTCAGCCACCTAAAACAG